GCTACACACCCCTTAATTCGAACTAGCTAGTTCGAACTAGGCTTAATCCTCGTGGAATGAGGATTACCTAGTTCGAACTAAGCGCTCCGTTAGTTCGAATTAAATTTGAACTAACGGAGCGCTAGGGTAGCGCCTATGAAAGTTAGTTCGAAATAACGTCCATTAGTTCGAACTAACTTTGTAGTGTAGACATAGCCTACATTTGGTTAAGGAAATATATATGGGTAACTCCAATTTTTTAATTTAATATTTATCCTATACATCTCAACTCCCATTCCCCAGCTAAACCCAAACCATGGGTGGTGGGTGAACTGCAAGTGCAGGGAGGGCTAGCCCCTTGTGCGGCCTGTCCCTTCTGCCTGAAGCCAATGCCCTCCTCCCCAAGGGCTGCTAGCCTCCCTATCCCAACCCTGGTCCATCCAAGCACCTCCCTTCCCTGGAGTACCTAGTGTCATGGCTGCAGTGCCAGGGCCCCCCTCAATGTTGGGCAGTTCGTCACCCTAAATTCCAGCCACAAGCTGGCTACTCCAGCTCCAAGCCCCAGGCCCACCTGGAATGGAGGCCTGCCTGGACTGAAGTTTGGGGCAACCAGCAGACACGGACTAAGTTATTTTGAAATAATGTTACTGTGTAGACATACCCTAGAGGTGCATCAGCACTGTACCATAACTCGAAAGAAGTGATGCAATTTGCGTAGCTGAAAAATTGCGTATTTTATTTTGATGCTATTTCGAAACAGCTTATTTTGTCATTTGGCCCTGTCTACACAGCATCACATTTTGAAATAAAGCGCTATTCTGAAACATCCCTTACTCCTTGTAGAATGAGGTTTACAGGGACGTCGGAATAGCGAGACCGAAATAATGGGCTTGCTGTGAAGACGGGGATAGCTATTTCAGGATACAGCATTATAGTGTAGACATACCCTAGGGGTGTGTCTAGACTGGCAAGATTTTGTGCGCAAAAACTTGCCAGCTGTCTACACTGGCCGCTTGAATTTGCACAAGAGCACTGATTTTGTGCTTCTTGTGCAAATACTTTCACGCTCCCGCTTAGGAAAAAGCCCTCTTGCGCAAGAATACTTGTGCAAGAGGGCCAGTGTAGACAGGGAAGAACTGTTTTGCGCAAAAAAGCCCCGATGGCTAAAATGGCAATCGGGGCTTTCTTGCGCAAAATCGCATCTAGACTGGCCACAGATGCTTTTGCGCAAAAGCATCCGTGCCAATCTAGACGCTCTTTTGTGGAAATACTTTTAACGGAAAAACTTTTCCGTTAAAAGTATTTCTGCAAAATCATGCCAGTCTAGACGTAGCCTCTATGTGGTGCCACACCAGGACACCCTGTTTTTAAAGTTACAGACTAACAGGGCTACCTCTCTGAGACTGCTATGCCACTCAGCGAGTGTGACACATCTATGCAAAATAGTGATAGAAATGTAGCCGTGTTAGTCTGGGGTAGTTGAAGCAAAATGCAGGACAATGTAGCACTTTAAAGACTAACAAGATGGTTTATTAGATGATGAGCTTTCGTGGGCCAGACCCACTTCCTCAGATCAAATAGTGGAAGAAAGTAGTCACAACCATATATACCAAAGGATACAATTAAAAAAATGAACAAATATGAAAAGGACAAATCACATTGCAGAACAGGAGGGGGAAGTTCAAGTTTGAGATAGTTCAAATGTTTGTTAAGTCCGAGACAGTCATTCTTGAGCAGGTTTTCCTGTTTCAGCCACGTAGGAATGTCTCCTGTATGCCTGCAACTCTGAGGTCTGATTTCCAGCCCAAGTGTTCCGTTCCTTTGCAGGAAGGAAACCCCACACCGCTTCCCTAATCCTGCGGAGCGATGAGTCTGCGGAGTTTGATGTGCTTTTCAAACCCAGCCTAGCCCAGCGGGTGGAAGGGAAAATCCACCTGTCAGTGGTGGACAACCAGTATGAGGAAACCAGCATTCAAGTGGTGGGAGAGGGCTACCAAGACGATATCACGCTGGATAACATCCATGGCCTGGTAGCAGAGAGCAGTGAGGAGAATTCAGAGGGGCATCTGGAGGAGGACACAGTGGAAGGTAAGAGGCATTGTTGAGAAGAGTCTGGCACCTTTGATGCTGCTACTGTTAGAAGTCCGTGGAGACTTTGCTGTCGATTTAGCAGGCAAGGGATGATGTTGTTGGAATTAGAAGGTGGGGCGGGTTACGCGCTCATATTGCAAGTTTTTTTCCCCCGAGGGAGGAGGGTCTAAGATGCAGATTTAAATCAAAGCCCCTCGTATCCCACACCCGCCTCAGAGAAGACACCCAGCTAGAGGTTTACCCCCATCTCCAGCAAGGCAGATTGGTGAGGCAGCAGCCGCAGAATAGCGCGTCTGACTGCGCCGTTCTCAGCCCCAGTGTT